TACCGAGGGTGAGGAAACAGAGGAGAAGCACAGTATTGGTCGCAGAAGCCGTGAGCAAGTGATAACTCAGAAGGCGAGATCACGAGTGCGGCAGGAGTTCACCCACACCAACCAGGAACGATGAGCCATCGAACAGAGATGAGGAATACAATGTAAAACGCACCAAGAAGCGCGTGATCGCTCCTTGGGGCACTGGCACAGAACCAATTCTGCATGTGTTTAAACTTCAAGTTGTGCCCCACAACACAACGGAGATCAGCGGTGAAGATCAGAAAATAGAAGTCAAGCGACGTACCGAAGAGAGAAGGAGTGAAGGGATTGAACTTGATAGAACAAACGAGTGAATGGTGCTCGCAGTAGAGACCGCAGCAGCATTAGAGGTTCTCGATGAACCAGAAGGCCTTTGTCCTGTCGCAATCAGGGATGCCGAGAACTGAGCAAGGAGTGCAAGGAAATCCAGCCTCCGAAAAAGTACACCCGATCGCGAGCTCAGCACAATTTGCACACTTGGGATGGCACAGAATTTTGCATCCAGCTGGAAGACGAACCAACTGTGACGCGAAGTCAACAGGAACCACGACGCGAAGTCAGCGGCAGTTGTGGCATGAAGTGATTGAAGGTTTTGGTCGGAGGTTGAATCCAAAAGGCAGTGTGATGAGATGGTGGAGCAGCACAACGACCACACCGCCAGACTTGCCGGTGAGGTAGTGGCAGGAGACAAGAGGAAATGGGTGGGAAAGACGCCCACGGAATGTCAAACGGCGCGAATTTCGGGATCTCGGCTTGTTGATATAAACCACGGAGATATAAGCTGTGTAAAAGAGCCGGTGTCAGATTACCGGATTCATCGAGAGGCATTTGAGGTCCAGGATTCGGCGGAAAACATGAGCACCAGATTAACGCTAGGCTGTACCAGAGAAATCAAAGGCTGAAAACACATCTGTTGTTTGGGCTGAATGAGGTTCTCTGATGGGAGGGTGGCGGAGAGCAAGAGAAAAAATTAGACGCCCATGCACGAAGTGCAAGAAGCGGAGAAGATTTCGGCATGATAGCATGCCGGTACATGATGTCAACTCCTCGGCTCGTTGATGCCGACGATTTCTCCAGTTGAGATCAGTTGATATTTTTCCTCTTGGATCTCACCATCATGTTGCTTCAATTAATATTTATGGTTACAAATAGTGTTCTGATTCCCTGCGAAATCGAGTATTGTTTGTGGGCTCGGGCACGGGACCTGTGGTACGCATAGATGGAACACTAGGGGCGCTTTATTTCCTAAGTTTGTAATCAATTTTTTACATTGTTGGAGTTCAATTGACTTGAGTTAACACTAAAATGTAATATGTGTTCGAGTGATGGCAATAGTCCGTACCGTGATAAAAATTCAAGTATGAGTCACGCCACGCACCCTGTGGTGGCCTCACCCAACAAGTAAATTGAACATTGTCTGTGGACAATCACTGGACTTGCTTGTGATCTGCAAAATATAAAACAACTTTTCCCACATATCTTCTATCAGTACACAAAGACCTGTACTCGGTTGCACTCTTTGGGATTGTATCTGGAATCACTTGTGGAGTTTGGTTGGTTTCAAGGATTTATTGCATTCACTGATTCAGCCCATCGGATTTGCATAAAGTTGTCTTTCCCCCTTAGACCACTGGCACACATTTCACTGTCTCTGTAAATATTGAGAAGAGCCCAGAAATCACCAAGTCGCAGTACATCGTACATCAAGCGTATCTCGCGCCCGGCGGTAATGAAGCCACCCTTCCTTGCGAGTGTTTTTCCCCCAGGAACGACTGCCCAAATTAACTGTCAATATCCGCTTGTGTTGAAAGTTGAACTCACCCAGCTATAGAGTCAAAGGAAGAAAGAACTTCCAATATCTCGGTTTCCCTCCCTATTCCCCTGTATAGAACCCAGTGAGTCTCAAAGTAAGAGCAAGACTCGGTCTCGGATGGTCCGCATCCACATGGCCTAATCGAAATCCTTCTGGGACGGTGGAAGGCGCCCGTTCGAATCAGGCCCGAGTCCTCCATCCGCCAAGTTCAAGTTAATTTTCCTGGGAAGGGCTCGATTCCATTCCCGGTTTTGATCCACCCTCCTATATGCCCCTCTCCAAAAAAAAAAATTATCCATAGCGCTCAGGAATTTACACAATCTTCATCATCTCCATCGCCAGGGATTCAAAAAGAGGCCAGATGTCAGAAATACCGATTAACTATCTGTTCCGTGCAGATTCAAGGCAAGATAGAACTTCCGACGTTTTGTACACAAGCGGAACCAAGGGTTAAGGAAGAAGACGACTCGGTGGTGGATGGTCCGCATCCACAACGTCTATCGGAAAACGTTGTATCTCGTGATGGTGGAAGCCGCCTGTTCGATCCAGGCCCGAGTCCTCCGTCTATTGCATCTTCTTGGTCTTGCCCAGGGCTCCGAGTCCATTCTAATTGGCCCCGATCCACCTACCCTCTCAGATAGCAGAAAACTGCTGCGCTCAGGACCTTATCTGCTCACTCTTCCTCATCTAGCAATTTTGCAAAGAGGCCAGAAATCCCTCCATTGTACATACATTAAGCGTATCTGGAGCCTTTCCGGCGCAGTCAAGGCCCCGTCCTTGCGATCTTTTTCCCCCACCAACGATTAGTCAATTATCAATATCTGCTCGTGCTGAACCCCGCAGATTCAAGGCAAGAAAGAACTCCCGCCGTTTCCGTTTTCCCCACCGTGGGACCTATTCGTGTATGCAGCCCAGCTAGTCTCAATGTATGTAGGAGCCAGCAAGACTTGGTCGCGGATGGTGCGCATCTACAGGACGTGGTGAATAATCCATGATAGGCACAGGTGAAATCGTCTGTTCGAATCCGGCCCGAGTCCTACTTCCTCTTCAATTATCCTTTCTTTTTCTTTCCGCTGTTTGCTTCGAGTATCGTACATATCACTTGCGATCGCCGAACTCCAGATGCACAATAAATTCATTGGAACATGAGCCGTTCCGATAAGTCCGCGGAGGGCGGATTCATAAATACCACTCCAAAGAAGGAATAGAAAAGAAGAACACCGGCAAAGGGACAGGGCCGTGAAATTATTTTCGTTTGACTAGATTACGAGTACGTAAGTAATCGTTCATAATATCTCGAGACCGCCATTCTTGCAATCTCGTTCTTTTACGGTCGACTTTTTCCGTCCGTATTGAAAATAGTGGCAGTGCTTAATTTTCATTAGAGATTTGAATGCCCTCTAGTGGCAGTGTTATTTTCATTACATTTTTTCATCGGATTCAGCAAGATTCATTAGGATTCAGAGGCTGTGTACAAACGTAAGCACTTTTTGAGATGGTCCCGCATTCAATTCGCCCAACGTCCATTTTCATTTCGAAAAGTCTGCGCATTGTTTATCCGCACCTACCTGCTTGATCCTTTGTAGCCGTAGTGCTCCTTGTGTCCCTGCTGTCATGATTTAATTGAGTGTTTGTATGATAGCGATGTCAAGTTTCCAACTGCGACGGAAGGGATCACCGCCAGGTCGTATTGTCAAATGATGGCATCAAGTTGCTAATCCCGAAACTCGGCCACTGCGCACGGAGTTCCACCGGGGAGAGCGCTGGGCTCCGCGGGTATATTGTTTTGCTGGAATTGTACGGTCGGAATAGAAGGATTACATAAAGCTTCAAGTACGAGTCACGCCACGCAAAGCGGTGGGCTCACCCAACAAGTTTCAAACTTGCAATTGGGTACTGTCTCCCAGTTGGTCCTTCAACAAACACGGTTCTCGCTCTTGTTCAATGCTCTCAATCATTGCAAAGAGGCGCACCCAGCTGCAGATTTAACGCAAAACGGAACTTCCGCCGTTTTCGTGTTCGTTTTCGTTTCCCTTCCCATCGTAATTATAATTATTCGCCCGCATGTAACCAAGCTTCAATGCAGGTGGGAAGAAGCAAGACTCGGTAGCGGATGACCCGCGTCCGCTTAATATGGACTCATTGGAGGCACTACATGTGGAAGCCGCCTGTTCGAATCAGGTCCGAGTTCTATATCGGCTGCGGTTATCTTTTCTTCGCCAGGCCAAGATTCTATCCGATTAGCTCTGCCAATGATCCACCCTCCCAGATACCACACACAAAAGCCACAGCGCGCATCAACTTATTTACACAGTCTTTCTTTCTCTTCTAAGTACTAATTGTGCAAAGAGGAAAACACAACCGCGCATTCAAGGCAAAAAGGAACTTCCATCGTTTCCGTTTCCGTTTCCCACACCATCGTACTTATAATTATTCGCTCACATGCAAACAAGAGCTTCAATGTAGTTAGGAGCAAGACTCGGTAGCGGATGGCCCGCGGCCCCTTAACATGGACCGGATTCTGAACCTATATGTGGAAGCGGCCTGTTCGAATCAGGCCCCAGTCCTAAGCCTACAATCAGACTCTTTTTTTACGGTTTTCAAAGTTTTTTGGGTTTCGCTCCGCGCGTAGAACAGTACGTAGTAGCTCACGATCTCCGGGCGCGCCGCCATCAATACCCAAGATTCGAACTGTGAACTGTGGACCGTGAACATCATCCATTCGGATGGCTCCGTGGTGGGTATGGTATGTAGATTCACAACCAGCTCCCAAGGCGGAATCAATAAAAACACACACCACTTGACGCGCCTGGTTCTGGTTCTGATTCGCATCCCCGGAGTAGGAAGGTTGTGCGTGTCATCGGTAAGGTGAGTTGAACAGTTCGAATCAGGCCCGAGTTCTATCTTGGCGGCCTCTATTTTTCCTTCGCCAGGCCAAGCTTCTATCTGATTAATCACCCTCCCAGTTAAGTACCAAAAACGCCACAGCGCTCATCAAATTACTTACACACTCTTTCTTTCTTTCTCTTCTACCAATTGTGCAAAGAGGAGAACCCACGGCAAAAAGGAACTGCCCCTGTTTTCGTTTCCGTTTCTCTCACCATCGTACTTATTCGCCCGCATGCAACCAAGCTTCGATGCAAGTAGGAAGGAGGAAGACTCGGTAGCGGATGGCCCGCGTCCACTTAACATGAGCTCGGTTGGAGCCCTACATGTGGAAGCCGCCTGTTCGAATCAGGCCCGAGTCCTAATCGCGCTTTATGAACATTTTTTTTAGGTTGCAAGTTTTGTGCGTTTCCTTCGTGCGGATGACAGTACCTCATGATCGCGGACACGGACGCCAATGCTCACGCCGTCATAAAGACTCTAGATTCAAACACCATCCGTTCCGATGACCCCGCGGTGATTAGATTCACAACCAGCTCCCAGGCAGGGAGGAATTATTACCAACACCACTGGGCGCGCCTCGCTCTGGTTCCGGTTCGCATCCTGGAGTCGGAAGGTTGAAGGTCGAAACCTACTAACGAGTCGGACTCGAGTCGTGTTCACGAAGGAACCGGGAAAACAGGCTACCATCGATATCGGTGGAGACCGCCAACTAAATAATTGGCTTACGAACACTTCAGGGAAGGAAAGTATCACTCTTTTCATTATCTCTAGATGTGCGACTAGGGCTCGAGGGGTATACAGAATGGCTCTAGCTCGGCGGCGCAGCCCGCAGCCCACAGCCTGTTCGATCCAGGCCCGAGTCTTATGCATATTGTCGATACGTTTTTTTATCCAATGGGATAGATGAGTAGGTACGCATGTACGCATGCATGATACAATGAAAAAAAGGGACAAGACGGGGAAGTAAGGGGAGAAAACATAAGGTGAAACGACGGCGCACGCGCGCACACTGGACTGCCCCGCCCACATATACTATAGGAGAAGTAGATCCCTCCGCACCCGCACCCGCACAAGCCTCCCTCTGCCCATGAAGGCGAAGGCGGGAAATGAACACGAAAACGCAAATAAAGGCTCGGGAAATGTCAGTCAGCGGCAAGACAAGTTGAACTCCTCGTGAAGCGCCCAAATTTGGAACGAAAGCGGAGAAGGTGAAAAGGATGGAAAAGAGGAAAAGAGGAAAAGAGGAAAAGAGGGAAGGAAAAGAGCCCCCACACCCAACCAGAGAACAGCGAATACTCACATCCCCATATTCGCATACACAACACACAAGCACGCAAGGTGGGCAGGCGCCAGCCAAGTCAAGCGCAGGGTGGGAGGCCCAAGCGCCGGGTGAGCGAGGGGCCATGCCGATTGACGACGAAGAGTGATTTGCAGTTTCTAACGCAAACAAAGCAAAGACGCGTCGCCCGAGGGAACCCGGCGAAAGCAAAAGCGAAGGCGGGGAAAACAAAGCAAAAGAAAAAGAGGAGGCACGAGGCGGACGCATGCACGCACGCACGACTCTCATGATACGCCGCACGCTGTGTGCCAAAGCATGCACGCGCGCGCGCGCCGGATGAGATCTCGACCTCGGTGCGTCGGGACATGCTGAATGTGAAGGGGACGAACGGTACGACACGGGTTGGATGGCACCCTCACCAACACCATCTCCGCAAGGCGTGGTATTGCAAGACGAGATGAGAAACGCCCGAAGAGGAAAGTAAAGCATACGCGTGAACGCGCGGAAGGCGAACAGGACGCGGACAGAGAGGGGGAGCAATTCGATACGATTGATTGGTTGTCTGCGAGTGAGGTGAGGTTGATGTAGTGGTAATTGCGACGTTAACATTAACACAACGATGGAGAAGCAGGGAGGGATTCGATGGCGCCGTGGGACATATTTTGTAGTTTGTGGTCTCCATCTCTCGATGCTGTGGACACGACACGCGCTCATGCAGCAGGGGCAGTGGCGGCGGCCGGCGTCGCATCGACGGGGCCTTCACCTCGGGCGGCGGTGTGGGGCAGGTGTGCGTCTGTGCGAGGCGAGCGATGGGCGATGGGCGATGGGACGCAGGCGGGATGGGGCGGCGAGCGGGGCACGAAGGAGAAACGACGGCAAGCGGCAAAGTGGGAGGGGGAGGAAGATACCCCGGGCGACGCCAGACGCCCGCCACGCACCGTCTCCCTACAATCGAAACACTTGCATTCCTTGACTTGAGGATTTGCCCCTCCTCGCGGCATCCAGCGCCTTGATGCGCGTGGGGCCCGGGTTTGGACAGTTCTTGGGCTGGTGGCCTTCGACGCACATCATGGGCTGCTTACATTCGGACTATTGGTGGCTTTCAGGACGGCAGTTGGCAGAATGGAGCAGAGAGGAAATGCGAAGAGGAAGAGATAACTATACAATAGGCTTGCGCAGAGAAGAGAAGAGAACGGACGCAAGCATGCTGCATGCACCACCAGTGCGGTCGACGCACGCAGAGCATTCCCACCAGTCTAGGGCGACCGCAAGACTTGAAGCAGTAGAAGCTGAGCAAAGGGGAGAGCGGTGGGGGATAGGAGGCACTGATAGCGGGAGCAGACGAGCGAGGGCAGGTTGTGAGCAAAGTGAAAAATGATGAGATCGCGATCACGTGTGAGAGATGGCGTGGCGCCACTCCTGACTTTCCGCCTCAAACGTAAGCACCGAATGAGGAAGGTTTTTTCGGCACTTCGGCATCCAGGTCTTTCTGCCGACAAATTGCCGGAGTTGCTTGTTTGCGTAAGCCACATGGCGCAAAACAATTGCCCACGTGCTTTGCTTCTTTCCTCCAACCATCATCTTGCCCACTCTCGCGTTCGCCCGCTCGCGCTGCTCGCCCCTTGCTCGTCCAGTATGGCACCTTCCTACCATACAACCTATGGATTGCCTCCCCCAGTATCAATGCTCGCACTGCACGATGTTCCAAGCCTGATTGCACGCGACATCTACAGCAGAGGATCAGACCTGCATAAATTGAGGTCGTGATTCCCTCTCATGCGCAGGTGAAGACAGTCGACTCCGATTCCGGCGACAATATTCTGGTCGTCGGCTCGCCCTCTCCCCAGTTCCAACACCCATGTCCCTGCCTCAGCCTCTCGACTCACGTGCCCTCGCTCGTATTGCCATCGGCCTGCCGCCACTATCCCCCATCGGCATCGCAATCCTTCACTCCGCAGTTTCCCCCGCACCTGCTTCCGTATCCCTTGTACTACGCTCTGTCGACGTCTGCTCATCATCACGCCACTCATCCTTATCAAATGTCCTACCCGCTACCAGGACTTGGACACCCCCCATTCTATCCCACCAACACCTCCTGGTGATCTCCCTCTCCACGGTTTCCCTCTTTGGTTTTGTATATCTTGTGACCATAAAATTTGGATCACTCTTGTCATTGCAGTAATTGTGTATCATCTTTTAACTATAAAAATTTGTGGTGCTCTTGCCCTCACAGTAATTGTTTATTGAATGAAAGCTACAGGTGGCGCGTGGCTGAACGAGGCCGCGGAGACTCGCCGAAGAGGCGACCCGTTTGAAAATGAGAAGTGCGGCATCAACGGTAAAGCTTCGGCAAAAAATAGGTGTGCCGATGTGCTGAAAAAACTTTCCGAACTTGTTGGGTGGGGCCACCGCATTAAGCGTGGCGTGACTCGTACTTAAAGATTTTTATTCACCGTCTTTCATTTCCACCTTCTCACACCGAGGTCTGTTATATTGATCTTTCAATTTCATAACTTTTGTGCGCAGGGATGGTAAGAAGCAAGAGACCAATCCAACATTTAGATGTGTGAGCAAACAAGCGGAGTTTCTCCCGGCATGGTTTCGCGCCGATAATATTAAATTTCGGCATTCCATCATGCCGAATTATTCTCCGCTTCTTTGACCACGTGTACCGGCGTCTATTTTTCCCTCTTGCTTCTCGCTATCACCTACACCATTGTCTTCGTCCAGTGGGCTATGATACCCAGCACTCCAGTGCCGTTCCCTCCCCGTAGGATTTATTAGCTGCCTCTCCCGCGCATGAGCAACGTGCACAATGCCGCTGCTGCCCGAAGTTCCCTGGTTGCTCCCTTTTACCCGCGTGGCATGATAACGCCATGATTTCGTACGGCCTTTTTTTTGCTTCCTCATTTTCATCTTCCACAGAACCTGTTTGCTTATCACAATCCATTTCTGTATGTACATTACCTTGAATCTTATTTCTCAATTGCTTTGCCGGAATTTTCCATAAGCCAGCATTAGTAATTTGAGTGAAAATTCCGCAGACTAAAGATAATGAACTAAGAGTGCCGGATTCCGGGCTGCGGCACGGGCCAAGGGAATACACATGCTTCCGTCGTTCACTCGGAGGATAAATCCCGACTCTATATAAGTACAATCGCGCTGCCCGACTAATCATCCAAGCTTTAATTTGTATCGTTATCATCAGTCTCATAAAGCCCCTGCTTACTGAGCGGTGGTCCTGAACGACAAGTTGTCCGCCATGCCAGCAGTTGTTGTTACTTAATCACCCCGTTGCTTTCCCCGCTGCCCTCTTCTAAATTCTATAATTATGGCCGCCAATCGTGCTCTCGTCAATTTGATCAGTTACGTACGTAGTCTTTGTCCGCTATCCTGCATTTTTAAAGGCTGACATTCAGCTGATTTATTGGGCCACGGAGGACTCAATGGCCCTTCTTATGGACTTTGCGTGCAGATCCCAGGATTCCGGCATTGTACTCTTTTCCGCCGCTCCGACACAGCAGCTGCTGTTACTTGGGCCGCGTCTATCTAATTTGGTGGTGGCAATATATATCACCCTCTGACAAGCGGCGATACGCTGCCCACGTTGCCTCCGCCCTTTCCACGCGTTCAGCTGCTGCTGCTCGGTGCTCCTCGCGCTTTACTTTCTCTGCCTCACGGTACTATTCCCTACACACCTCAGTGACATTACCTCTGAAACTCATTTTCACCTTATCTCCCTGAGGCTTACACTCGTCCCAAGGTGGTTTTGCCAGATCCTCGTGTTCTCCTGCTAACCATCCGCCCCAGTGGCCTGCGAACGTTGTAAACCACGCTTTGGTTGAACGCATCGGCCAGATGGTTCGTGATCCTTTATTCCCAGTGGAACACTTTCTTTGATGTTCGTATTCGTCAAGGAGGAGCGGCACGCAATTGATCCGTTTTATAAAGACTGTGCGTGGTGGACCTTCGCCGGCTGATATTTTGTTCAAGATATGCCGTGCAGTTCTGCAGTCGTTCGAGATTACATCCATTATCGACGCCTTCTTTTCAACGGTGGAGGTGAAGGGAAAGCTCCGG